ATTATACTTTTCAGTTCTAGGGTACATGTGCACAACATGCAGGTTTTTTACATATGTATACATGTGCCATGTTGGTGTGCTGCACCCATTAACTAGTCATTTACATTAGGTATATCTCCTAATGCTATCCCTCCGCTTTTCCACCTCCCCACAACAGGCCCCGGTGTGTGATGTTCCCCACCCTGTGTCCAAGCGTTCTCATTGTTCAATTCCCACCTCTGACTGTGAGCATGCAGTGTTTGGTTTTCTGTTCTTGAGATAGTTTGCTGAGAATGATGGTTTCTAGCTGCATCCATGTCCCTACAAAGGACATGAACTCATCCTTTTTTATGGTTGCATAGTATTCCAGGGTGTATATGCGCCACATTTTCTTAATCCAGTCTGTCACTGATGGACATTTGGGTTGGTTCCAAGTCTCTGCTATTGTGAATAGCACTATACCTTTCTACTGGATTTCTCTGCAGCAGCCTGATGCTGTTCCTCAGCCTGCCCCTTCCTGATGGACTGGGGCCAGAGGTAGATTCTGCCTCCTCTGAAATCTATTTGCTGTTTCAGTAGTAGCACACTCTGGCTAGGAAAGCAGTTTCAGTCCCCGACTACCTTGACTCATGTCCCCGTTACTCTAATCACCAGCTGGGTGACCTCAGGCATGTTTTTTAACCTCTGAGTCTCAGTGTCCTTGTCTAGGATAGAGGATAATAATACAATACCTACCTCATGGGTTTGCTGGGAGGGTTGGGGGGCACAATGTACAAAAGGAGCACACAATAATATGCGTGACCCCCAATTGCACTCAATATGTATGGTCCATACCAATATATACTGTTGATCTGTTGGCTACTCAGGTTTCCCATTTGTATACCCAACATTGCACTATTTGATACGTTATCTCTAGGTCTTTAAACACACACATACAAACACACACACCCTCCACACACACACTGCTCATTTCTTCCATCCACAGAGCTTACAATTAACACCTCATTATGCCATATGTTCATGTCCTCTGTAATCCATATGGGTCTCAGGAAGAGACGTTAATTACATAATTCTGATCAGCTTGTTAGGCAGCCAAATTAGTCTGTGTAAAATATTTTACCCATCAAAATATGACCCCCCTCCCCCAACTTCCCTCTTAGTAAGTATTGTCCAGTTTGTTCCCACTTACCTGCTCAAGTTAAAAGCCTCAAATCACACTTGATCCTTGATACTTTTCCTGGCCTTCTCTAGTGTGAATGTACTTCTGCATTCCAAAAGTAAGTATCATAGGTCCTATCTCCAAAATATATCTTGAATCCATCTACCATGTCATCTCTACTGTCATCACTTTGGCTAAACGCTCTCCCCTGGGCCACAATAACAGCTTCTGATCAGTCTCCTTGCTCTCACTCTTGCAGGCAGAATGACTTAAAAATAAATGTCAATTCATGTCTCTCCCTCTGTATTTGTTTTCTATTTGCTGCTGTAACAAACTGCCACAAATCTAGCAGCTCAACACAACACAATGTATCCCCTTACAGTTCTGCAGGACTGGAGCCTGACATGGGTCTCACTGGGCTAACATCAGGGTATCAGCAGGGCTGTGTTCCTCCTGCAAGCTCCAGGGAAGAACCCACTGCCTTGCCTTTTCCAGCTTCTAGAAGCCCTGCACACTCCATGACTCAAGGCCTGCCCCCTTCATCTTCGAAGCCAGCAACATGGCATCTCTCTGGCCCCATTTCCCTTATATCTCCTTCTCTGACTCTGTTTCCTGCCTCCCTCTCCCACTTTTAAGGAAATGATGAACTGAGATCTGATCAGTGAGAAGAAGCCAGTGAAGAAAAGAGCTGTCCAGGCAGAGGCAAAAGTTCTCTGGCAGATGGATTTTAAGGCCCACTTGTGATTATACTGGGCTCACGTGGATAATCCAGGAAAATCTCCTTACTTTTAGGACAGTTGGTTGGGGACCTTAATCCCATCTGCAACCTTACTTTCCCTATGCCATGTAACCTAACCTGTTGGCAAGTTCCAGGGATTTGGATGTGGACATCTTTCGGGAGGAGGAGGAAGAGACATTATTCTACCAACAATGCCTTGCTTTAAAACTTCACAGTGGCTTTCCCCTACACTGGAATAAAATCCCTCTCCCACCAATGTCTAGAAGGCTGATATGATCTGTGACCTCCCTGCCCCATGCCTAACTTCTTGGATATTGCCCCACCTCTCTCAAGATGTTACAGTCATATTGGTATTCTCTCTGTTTCTAGAATACTGAAAGCTCAGTCCACTAGAATACATTTGCCTCTGCCTGGGAGGCTCTTTCCCTTGCTAGATCCTTCTCTGATTAGGTCTCAGTCTAAGCAGTGTCTCTTTGATGCCCTCATGTGAGTACCAACCCCCTCCATCCACATTCCCAGTCTCTATGACATCAGCCTGGTTCATATCCTTCGAAGCACTTATCACTGCCTGACATCACCGTACTTACTGACTTTTTAACTTACTTCTTATCTGTCTCTCACCTCTGGAGTGTAAGTTGCATGAGGTCAGGCACCTTCCCCATCTTTGCTCTACTCTATCTCCAGGACCTAGAACATGGCCTGACACATAGCAGGTGCTCAATTAACTATTGTAGAATAAATTCTTACTACTGAGAGGCTACCTTCAGGCCATGATGTTGTAGGTAGTAGACCTGCATGGTGATCTCATTGAGGTTAAATATAATTTATGAGTTGGTGCTACTGAAATGAGTCAGGATGCCGAAAATGCAGTTTCTAAGACATGGTCATGTAACAGAATAGAGATTCTTCCAACTGAATCTGCTGCTGATACCACAGGATTAATGGCCTCAACCATCTTTTGCATCAACTATGCAAAAGAAAGTCTTGCCTTTTTGCTACTTGTTTGTCTGGATGCCCTCTACTGCAGTCAAGGCAAGATTCAGACAGCTTTCTCCAGGCTGAGTTGATGCAGATGAACATTTACTATAAGGCAAAGCTAGTTTGTCCATGGTTGGTTTGGTGAATCTCACTAGAAATTCAAATCCAATAAATAAACTGGGTATAGGCCATCAAACTTTTCTCAAAACTAATAGTTTTAAACCAAAGCTTTTCTTTTTTTTTTTTTTTTTTTTGAGACGGAGTCTTGCTCTGTCGCCCAGGCTGGAGTGCAGTGGCTGGATCTCAGCTCACTGCAAGCTCCGCCTCCCGGGTTCATGCCATTCTCCTGCCTCAGCCTCCGGAGTACCTGGGACTACAGGGCCCGCCACCTTGCCCGGCTAGTTTTTTTTTTTGTATTTTTTTAGTAGAGACGGGGTTTCACCGGGTTAGCCAGGATGCTCTCGATCTCCTGACCTCGTGATCCGCCCGTCTCAGCCTCCTAAAGTGCTGGGATTACAGGCTTGAGCCACCGCGCCCGGCCTAAACCAAAGCTTTTAATTGTAATGCAAAAAAAAAGCACAATTTCCTTTATAAATTCAATATGAAGGCATTAAAAACGCATACCAAAAACTAACCTCATTTTGGTTTAAGATTTTCCGGTATTCTGTGCTCCGTGCAAGAATGGTGACTCGAATTTTTCCATCCTGTAATCAAAATGAAATAGTAAAATAACACTGTATATGCCTGGGTAGATGAATGAACATCTGAACCTAAAATGTGATTTTCACCAAGAGATGAAACTCAACCAGGATACATTAATAGAACTATTCTTTTTCAGCCTGATTCCTTCACCACTCTCAGGGAATAAAAACGTGTCCACTTCAACCACCGAAGGCAAAAACCAGTTCATTACATTATGTGTTTGGTTGGGTGGGTGAATTTTTTGGCAGGGGTTGTGTAAGTTAAATGAATATTTGCGGAGGTGAGGGAGATATAGCCAATGAAGGGGGAAAGGAGGGCACGAGGAAGCACATTCTTGCAATATCCCTTAGTTTCTCTTTTACAGGTTTTTGACATCTGGTTTCCGATGACTCCAGGTCAGAAAATGTTTTTGGGTTTTGTTTTGGGACAGCATCTTGCTCTGTCACCCAGGCAGAAGTGCAGTGGCATGGTCTTGGCTCCCTGCAGCCTCTGCCTCCTGGGTTCAAGCAATTCTCGTGCCCCAGTCTCCTGAGAAGCTGGGACTACAGGCACGTGCCACCACGTCCAGCTAATTTTTGTATTTTTTGCAGAGATGGGGTTTCGCCATGTTGGCCAGGCTGGTCTTGAAATCCTGGACTCAAGTGATCCACCTGCCTTGGCCTCCCCAGAAAATGTTAACACGAAAACATGGTCTCCTGATTATTTCTGTTTCTGAAAAGGTGGTATCAACTTTTATTAGGGAAGAAAACTCAAGCCCATCTCAGAATCCATTACCTTGGGTCCTTCTTGTGTGATGTTTAGTCTGTGTAGCACATGCTGGGAAAATGCCCTGAATAGTCCAGTATTTTGACAGCCAGATATCTAAAATAAAAACACTGGTTGATATTACAATGAATACTTCTGTATTATAATTTAAAATACTGTCAAGTTATGTATAAATGTTATAATGTCTGTAAATATGAATGCTAATGGTAGACAGCATGCTTACCAGAGGAGTATTATAGAACAGCCCATACCTCATGCGGGGGAGTAATGAAAAAACAGCTTCTTTAAAACATACCTAAGAACAAAGATACATTAAAAGATAAGAGGATGTAATTTGCACCCTTCACACCAAAATAGCATGTATAATTTTGAAAAACTGATTTCAATTAATCTCCATTTTGCATTAAGATTGTTTGAATAGCACGCTATTTCATTCAAAGAGAATAGAATTCATATTTTTGGAAAGATTATAGAAAAAAGTTTTCAAAGGCTGCATGATTAACAACACTGAGGATTCTAATTATAATAAAAGAAATTCAGAATTCAGAAATCAGTGGTAATGGCTAATAGGAACTCATAATAAATGTTTATTTTATGAGTGAGTCATCTGCACTCAAGAGATATTCACAAACATTTCAGGAAAATTTCCAGTACCCTTTTGGAATCATAAGTTTTCAAATGTATAATGTCATAATCAGTAAATGCATTCCATGTGTCGGAGAATAGGTCACCATATCCGTAAGAACTCTGAAAGTAGAAACAAAACAAGGTTTTAGGGCAATGAAAGGATACAACATGAATTTTCAAAGATGCAACAAAATACCTGAATTTGCTTGTGTTAAAAACTAACAATCCTACACAAAATCCGTATGAGCAAAATGGATCTTCATCTTGGGCCAGAGCAAATGCCTAATTTCATCAAATATCATCAGAAATAACTATCACAATTATACTCTTAGCCATTAACAGTGTTTCATTTTTCTACCTAAACTTCTTTTATTCTCACGTCTTTCAAGTTGTAGTTCAGGGTTTTTTCCTGTGAACATCTTATCCAAATTACAGATGCACACCACACACACATATGCCACCGTTTGTACACACTCTGTTATGCTCAGTGTGCAAAAACCATCAGGGTGAATGAAAAATACTTTAGAAAAAAATTTCAGAGCAAGAAAATGGGTTCAAAGTTTTAACATTGGCTGGGTGCAGTGGCTCACAGCTGTAATCCCAGCACTTTGGGAGGCTGAGGCAGGCAGATCACCTGAGGTCAGGAGTTCAAGACCAGCCTGACCAATATGATGAAACCCTGTCTCGACTAAAACTACAAAAATTAGCTGGGCTTGGTGGCATGTGCCTGTAATCCCAGCTACTCGGGAGGCTGAGACAGAAGAATCACTTGAACCCGGGAGGCAGGGGTTGCAGTGAGCCGAGATCATGCCATTGCACTCCAGCCTGAGCAACAAGAATGAAACTCAGTCTCAAAAAAAGAAAAAAAGAAAGTTTTAACATTAAAAATAAAGGCTGGTCACAGTGGCTCATGCCTGTAATTCCAGCACTTTGGGAGGCAAAGGTGGGAGGATCACTTGAGCCTTGAAGTTTAAGGCTGCAGTGAGCTATGATCATGCCATATACTCCAGCTTGGGCAACAGAGCAAGACCTTGTCTCTAATAAAATTAAAAATATATATATAATATATGTAATTCTATGAAATATTCCCCCACCCATTGACTAGTGAATAAAAAGTGGTAATTTCCGATTAATATTAATGGTGTCAATAACAACTTTATATAATAATAATAGCATCCTACACACTTCCTGTGTTCCAGGCACTGTTTTGGGCACTTGACATTATTAATATACATTAAGCCACCCACAAGCCTAATGAGTAGATAATATCATTTTCCCTATTTTGCAGATGAGGAAACTGAGACACAATTTTAAGTCATTTGCCTACACTGCAAAGCAGCTGAGTTATAGAGCTGGGATTCAACCTAGCCTTTGCTGCCAGCTCCATCTGACAGTTGCCTCTCAGTGGGAATTAGTTCTTTCTAGTATAATTACATGGTTTTTTGGTTTTTTGTTTTGCTTTGTTTTTGTTTTGAGATGGAGTCTCACCCTGTCGCCCAGGCTAGAGTGCGATGTCATGATCTGGGCTCACTGCAACCTCTGCCTCCCAAGTTCAAGCAATTCTCCTGCCCCAGTCTCCCGAGTAGCTGGGATTACAGGCGCACGCCACCACATCCAGCTAATTTTTGTATTTTTTGATAGAGACAGGGTTTCACCATATTGGCCAGGCTGGTCTCAAACTCCTGAGCTCAAGTGATCTGCCCACCTCGGCCTCCTAAAGTGCTAGAATTAAAGAAACCACACCCAGCCTCATTTCTCTTTTGAAAAGTAGTTAATTACGAGCTCCATTAGCTAAGAAGAAGATCAATTAATTTTTAAATGGTTTCACTTAGATTGAAAAATTCAGCCAACAGAAATCAGAAATATGCATTGTAGCATTACATTCAAGCTCTATAGTTATACATTATGTTCATGTCTTTTTATCTTTATAGCATTTTCTCAGATTTTGAAAATTGTATGTTGCACATACTGCAGTTATTTCAAAGTTACTGAGATCTGTTAGACGTGAAAATTTAAAAAAAAAAAAAAAAAAGGCTTCTTTCCATGTTCCTCCAATGCCATTCTAATAAAGGCCCTTCTCAACACCATCTAAAATGAAATGTCCCTGTTCTGGCTCAATAATAAATAAAGGGCAATTAAAAGAAGTGATTCTGGATGGTTTCCTGAGATAAAATACTCCAGATAAAATAAGATACGTTTGAAAGGAAATTTTAATAATAAAATACTATAATCCTGACCGATCCTTCCTCAGGGAAGTCATACATTATTTAATAAGAACCACTTCCAGAAGCTTCTTTTCCATGTTTCCCAAGTCCAAATTATCTACCATGAGGGAAGGAGGGGCTTCTTCCTACACTCATGTTGAAGAATATTTGGATAGTCTTCAAGATGACACAAAATTTCCTTTAGTGTGTCTCAAATTTAAACATGCACATAATCTATGACTTAGAAATTCCACTTACAGGAATCTGTCCTACAGAAATGCTAGGATGAGGATGTGAAGATATAGGTATATTGAAAGGATGTATGTGTTTACAGTAACATTTCAGTAAATATCAAAGAACTGGAAACAAAACCAAATGTGATGGGGGGGCGGTGGAGTGGGAAATGAATACATGCACTGATGCATGCATCCAACTTCCAAAACATCCATTAAACAGAATACCACATAACACCTAAAGCAAGGATAGCCCTAAAGGTATTGACTTAAAGAGACATTCCAGAGATAATACTAAGGTGGCAATATGAGACAGAGAGTGTATTTTCCACAAGAATATAAACATATTGGCCAGGCATGGTGACTCATGGCTGTAATCCCAGTGCTTTGGGAGGCTGAGGTGGGAGGATCACTTGAGGCCAGGAGTTCAAGACTGTATTAGTCAGTTTTCACGCTGCTGATAAAGACATACCTGAGACTGGGAAGAAAAAAAGTTTAATTGGACTTACAGTTCCACATGGCTGGGGAGGCCTCAGAACCATGGCGGGAGGTGAAAGACACTTCTTACATGGCAGCGGCAAGAGAAAATGAGGAAGAAGCAAAAGCGGAAAACCCTGATAAACCCATCAGATCTCATGAGACTTATTCACTATCACGAGAATAGCATGGGAAAGACTAGCCCTCATGATTCAATTACCTCCCCCCGGGTCCCTCCCATAACATGTGGGAATTCTGGGAGATACAATTCAAGTTGAGATTTGGTGGGGACATAGCCAAACCATATCATTCTGCCCCAGGCCCCTCTAAATCTCATGTCCTTACATTTCAAAACAAACCATGCCTTCCCAACAGTCCCCCAAAGTCTTAACTCATTTCAGCATTAACCCAAAAGTCCAGAGTCCAAGGTCTCATCTGAGACAAGGCAAGTCCCTTCTACCTATGAGTCTGTAAAACCAAAAGAAGGCTAGTTACTTCCTAGATATGATGAGGGTATAGATATTGGGTAAACATAGCCGTTCCAAATGGGAGAAATTGGCCAAAACAAAAGGGTTACAGGGCTCATGCAAGTCCGAAATCCAGCATGGCAGTCAAACTTTAAAACTCCAAAATGATCTCCTTTGACTCCAGCTCTCACATCCAGGTTATGCTGAAACATGAGGTGGGTTCCCACAGTCTTGGGCAGCTCTGCCCCTGTGGTTTTGCAGGGTATAGCCTCTATTCCAGCTGCTTTCACGGGCTGGCGTTGAGTATCTGCAGCTTTTCCGGGTGCACAGTTCAAGCTGTCAGTGGATCTACCATTCTGGGGTCTGGAGAATGGTGGCCCTCTTCTCACAGCTCCACTAGGCAGCACCCCACTAAGGACTCTGTGTGGAGGCTCCAACCCCACATTTCCCTTCCACACTGCCTTAGCAGAGGTTCTCCATGAGGGCCCCACCCCTGCAGCAAACTTCTGCCTGGGCATCTAGGTATTTCCATACATCTTCTGAAATCTAGGTGGAGGTTCCCAAACCTCAATTCTTGACTTCTGTGCACCACAGGCTCAACACCACATGAAAGCTGCCAAAGCTTGGGGCTTCCACCCTCTGAAGCCACAGCCCAAGCTGTACATTGGCCCCTTTCAGTCATGGCTGGAGCGGCTAGGACACAGGGCACCAAGTCTCTAGGCTGCACACAGCATGGGGACCCTAGGCCCAGCCCATGAAACCACTTTTTCCTCCTAGGCCTCCAGGCCTGTGATGGGAGCAGCTGCCATGAAGGTTTCTGACGTGGCTTGAAGACATTTTCCCCATGGTCTTGGGAATTAACATTAGGCTCCTTGCTATTTATGCAAATTTCTGCAGGCGACTTGAAATTCTCCCCAGAAAACAGGTTTTTATTTTCTATTGCACAGTCAGGCTGCAAATTTTCTGAACTTTTATGCTCCGTTTCCCTTTTGAAACTGAGTGTCTTTAACAGCACCCAAATCACCTTTTGAATAGTTGTCTGCTTAGAAATTTCTTCTGCCAAATACCCTAAATCATCTCTCTCAAGTTTAAAGTTCCACAAATCTCTAGGGCAGGCGCAAAATACCACCACTCTCTTTGCTAAAACGTAACAAGAGTCACCTTTGCTCCAGTTCCCAACAGGTTCCTCATCTCCATCTGAGACCAACTCAGCCTGGATTTTATTGTCCATTTCACTATCAGCATTTTGGACAAAGCTATTCAACAAGTCTCCAGGATGTTGCAAACTTTCCCACATTTTCCCGTCTTCTTCTGGGCCCTTCAAACTGTTCCAATTGCTGCCTGTTACCCAGTTCCAAAGTCACCTCCACATTTTCGGGTATCTTTTCAGCAACACCCCACTCTACTGGTACCAGTTTACCGCATTTGTCCGTTTTCAGTCTGCTGATAAAGATATACCCAAGACTGGGAAGAAAAAGAGGTTTAATTGGACTTACAGTTCCACATGGCTGGGGAGGCCTCAGAATCATGGTGGGAGGTAAAAGGCACTTCTTACATGGTGGCGGCAAGGGAAAATGAGGAAGAAGCAAAAGCGGAAAACCCTGATAAACCCATCAGATCTCATGAGACTTATTCACTATCACAGGAATAGCACCAGAAAGACCAGCCCTCATGATTCAATTACCTCCCCCGGGTCCCTCCCACAACATGTGGGAATTCTAGGAGATAAAATTCAAGCTGAGATTTGGTGGGGACACAGCCAAACTATATCAAGGACCAATCTGGGTACCATAACAAGATCTTATCTCTACAGAAAATAAATTCAAAAATTAGCCAGATGTCAAATCAGAAGACAGTATTATATATACACACACCCATGTATATATGTTATGACAATATATAAATTGTCATAACACATATATAACATATTTATGGAAAAGAACAGCCAGGGATGGTGGCATGCACGTATAGTCCTAGCTACTTGGGAGTCTGAGGCAGGAAGATCACCTGAGCCCAGGAGAGCAAGGCTGCAGTGAGCTAGGATCATATTCCTGGACTTTAGCCTGGGTGACATATTTGCACTTATTAAAATAAACAGAGTCCTGCAAGGGACTCACATACAACTGCAGTTACCCTTGGGGGAACAGGGAATTGGAGAGGAAGAAGGAGACTTCTTAAAAAACTTTGCATACTTCTGTGTTGTTTGAACTCATTATAAACAGGTATTACTTTCATAATTAAAAAAGTAATCACGGCTGGACATGGTGGCTCACATCTGTAATCCCAGCCCTTTGGGAGGCCGAGGCAGGCAGATCACCTACGGTCAGGAGTTCAAAACCAGCCTGGTCAACATAGTGAAACCCTATCTCTACTGAAAATATAAAAATTAGCCAGGCGTGGTGGCACACACTGTAATCCCAGCTACTAGGGAGGCTGAGGCAGGAGAATCACTTGAACCTGGGAGGCGAAGTTTGCAGTGAGCCAAGATTGCAACACTGCACTTCAACCTGGGTAACAAGGCAAGACTCTGTCTCAAAAACAAAAAAAAGTAATCATAAAGCTATACTACTTCTCAGCACAAGCAAATGTGGAAAGCCTACAGTAATTTCTCCTTTTATTCATTCTACTTGATAAGAGCAACCCTGCTGTGCCCAGAGAGGCAACTGAAGATGGGTCCCTTTATGCATGTTTGCAGGTTGGTGGCCTTGCCCATCCCACTGAGGATGCCACATGCTGAAGGAAGTAAACTGCAGAGCTTTTCAAGGAGGAGAGGGAAGGCCCCATAGGCTTCCTTGTGGGGACAGTTTGGAAAATATCACCAAGATGTGAACTGCAGTAACAGCTACCTCCCTGCTCTTCCCTGGGCAAACTGCTCGTCCAAAACCATCAGGACTCTGGCAACACTATCCACTGTGAAGGATTCATGTCATAGTCAGCCTGCAGGTCATAGTGCTGCTTAATTTAAGGCCTTACCAACAAAAGGGAAACAGCAGCCACACAAACCCTTACTTAGTGCCATCCCCATCCAACCTACCATCTTCTGTGGGCCTGATTTCTGGAGCAATCTGGCAGAGCTGCCTGTCCTGAGAACCTGGCTTAGTAAATGGCAAAGACTTCTTTGACCAAGAATGCAGGTTTAAAATGGATGCACAGGGAGTGGTAAAGGAGGGGGGGTAACACCGAGCAGCCACCCTACTGGGCTACCCCCATCCTGCCTATCTGTGCCAGAGCGGAGGTCAGACTGCCCTCATGTCTCATGCTCAGCAGACTGAATAACCTGGAGTCTTCATGGTGGCCGTGCATCCTACTCCAGTAGCCACAGAGAAGGGGAGGGTTGTAGAAGCTGGCTCACTGTAACAGTCCATTTGAGGAAGATGTGGAAAAGCATGCAACAGGTACAAGGAAGCTTCTGGAAGGCATCTGATAAATTTCTGTCAACTTAGTTTGGCAACTTAGGTACAGTCCTCTTCAGAGGACTTTAAGAAGACGACACAGCGCTGTGGTGTCCAAGCACAGGTCTGGGGTCAGGCTGCCTGGATGGAAACCTTGGTTCTGCCCTCACTGACTGCATTATCTTACAACACTCACCTGCCGCTCAGGCCTCGGCCTCTTGTCTGTAAAATAAGCTAATGAAAACTCAAGTCCATGGGGGGTCATGAGCAGGAAATGAAGTAACATAATTTATGTTAATTACAAAATTTAAAAATAATTTTGTTTAAAAAGGGCAAAACAACCATGAGTTAATAATTTAGGGCTTGTAATGGCTGCTGAGTGTGGCCTGACTTCACTGATACAAAAAGAAGAAAAGAAAGGGACTGTTGTTCCCTTTGCTCACAAAATATTTCCAAGAAATGAAACTGTGGTGGCAGCAAAACTGAAATACAAAAGGGAAACGTAAATGTATATAGATGGAAAATAAAAGAAAGTATTAACATACCAAGAATTATAGTCTCATCAGACTTCAAAATCTAACTCAAAGTCTAGGGAGCAGTTTTCCTGAAAACCTTTTTACACAGCTCTACTACAAGCCTCTTATCAGTGAAAAAAGGGTCAGCAAAACTCTCTCTCCTTCTGCATGAGAATTTGACCTCCTGTTAACTAGCTAACTCAGCTCTCTGGAAATGGCGATGGCTTGTGTCAACCGTGCGCCTAGGCAGCATTGCTGCTGATCTAAACAGACAGATGCTTGATGGGTAAATTGCATCTGGACTGGGAAAGCCATGTTCCAGCTTTCCTGAGTACACTGACTCCTGAAACCAGGCATGTCTCTTTCAGGGATCCTGGGGACTTTGCCAATGCAGTTGTGTCAGGAGATGTTGGGCTCTACAGGATATGAGGCTCTTAAGCCAAGGCATCGCCTGTGCCTGCCCCAGGCGAATCTTGTCTCCTTGCACCTGAGCTGTGCTGTGTGAACTGCTAGCACTCCCTCTGGAAGAAACACCTGAGGATGCCCTGCCAGCAAGCTGTGGTTCCCCTGCAATGTCATCCTGAATAGACTCACATCAAGAGCCGAGCATATGAATGTCGTGAGTCAGAATGTTGAGTGGAACCTTATATGACCCCTTGGTAGGTGTTCCAACTTCCCAGTATAGGCAACCTCTCTCATGTACACTACAAACCATTTATTCTCCTTATTGTAATTGTCACAGTTAACATTCAGAGCACAAGTACTGTGTACCAGGCATTGCGACTGTTCATTCACTATTTGGTTCATTCTCAAAGTGACACCTAGGTAAGTGTCATTATCTCACTATCTCATTTCAGAGCTGAAGATTCTGGGGCACATCTTGGGGTTTCCTTAGCAGGTGGAGGGGCCAGATATGGGAAGAAGCAGGGAAAAGGCAGGCAAAGAGAGAGAAGGAAAAAAGATTGCACTAAAAACAAATAAATAGCAGGTGTCACTCAATGCATGTATTTATGTGCATGCCTAAGAACTGCCCTATACAGTGAGCTGAAACTCACAGTATAATTCAGCACAAAGGACATAGTAATGGGGAAGCTGCTATTAAGCAAAGGCAGACAGTAAATGCAAAAGGTCAAACAGTAAACAGAGGCAAGCACTTCCAACATAGGTTATACAGGTTGAGTGAACGACAGCCTTTTTTTTTTTTTTTTTTGAGACAGAGTCTTGCTCTGTCACGCAGGTTGCAGTGCAGTGGCATGATCTTGGCTCAATGCAACCTCCACCTCCAAGGTTCAAGTGATTCTCCGACCACAGCCTCCTGAGTAGTTGGGACGACATGTGTGTGCCACCACATCTGGCTAATTTTTATATTTTCAGTAGAAACAAGATTTCACCATATTGGCCAGGCTAGTCTCAAACTCCTGGCCCCAAGTGATCCACCTGCCTCGGCCTCCCAAGGTGCTGTGATTACAGGTGTGAGCCATCACACCCAGCTGAAAGGCAGTCTTTCATATGTGTGTCCCAGAGGAAGACTGAGCCAAAGTCACTAAATCTCTGGCCTTGGGAGCTCCAGCCATCCAGAAAGGGAAAGAAACCTTCCCCACTGCCTCATTCTAAAATTCAAAGACCGAAGGTACACACATATGTACCTATCTGCCTATATGTATATGCACATGTCAACACATATATGTACAGATACATTCGCATCCATCCACATATGCGCGGGAGTGTATACTGAAAAGTATGTGTCTGAAAATTCTGTTTCACAACATCAGAGTCACACACTGATACAAGGGAAAGACAGTACCGAAGCAGAGAGCACATTCATACTTACAGTGTCCCACATCACGATGTACACGTCAGTACTGAATGAGTTATTAACGTGCTGAGTAAGATAAAGATTGACGAAATCACAGAAGTGGTGATACATGTTAACACCTAGTGTTGGAAAATGAAACTACATTAATTAACACCAAAGAGTACATGATCAAGCAAGTTTTATTCTATCCCATCTATTTACGGTTTAAGAGAATTTTAGTTGAAATAAATGGGGGAAAAATAACTGCTTTGTTTTTCCAAACATGAAATGATCTAGATACATAGGTAGTCCTCAATTTACAGCCTGATTGGGTTTCAAAAGTCACTCTAAAATTGGTTATTTAAAATCAGGAATGCATTTCCCCATATATTCCAAGTAACAAGTGATCATTAAGTTTCCAGAAAAAAACAAGGTAGGTCTATTTAACTCAAAACCGAGTTGAACTACAGGGCCAGGAAGACAACTCATTCTTTCTTCTGACTTTATTTATTTATTTTTATCAGGGGTAGGGTCATGCTATGGTGGCATGTGCCACCATGCCTAGCTTGATCGTTTATTTTTTAAAGTCAATTAAGGGGCCAGGCGCAGTGGCTCACACTTGTAATCACAGCACTTTGGGAGGCTGAGGCAGGTCAATCACTTGAGGTCAGGAGTTCAAGAACAGCCTGGCCAACATGGTGAAATCTCGTCTCTACTAAAAATACAAAAATTAGGCAGGCGTGGTGGTGCCTGCCTGTAATCCCAGCCACTAAGGAGGCTGAGGCAAGAGAATTTGCTTGAACCTGGGAGGCGGAGGTTGCAGTGAACCAAGATCACACCACTGTACTCCAGCCTGAGCGACAGAGTGAGACCGCATCTCAAAAAAAAAAAAAAAAAGAAAGAAAAAGAAAAAAAAAAGCAATTAAGCAACATCTGTTCATCATGGAAGTATTGGCAATGATGGCAACTAATATTTTGGTAATTTTCATTCCTGTCTCTTTTTTCCCTATTTAATTATTATATATATCATTCCGGGAAAACCATTAACCAACTATCATATAAAAGAGGTGAATGTCTTGTGTTCTGATTGAAAGAGAAGGCATTCTGGAGTAAGAAGCTGAATTCCAGCACAGCCATGCATGTGCAACATTCTTAGATGAGTTCATCAAGTCCCTAAGCTTTAGCTTCTCTATAGAAATGGGAAATAGTTACCTAAGTGCCAGCTTTATTATGAGAAACCCAAAGATAATACATCTTAAAGTACCCATCCCAGTGCCAGGCACATAGGAAGAACTGAATGAAGACTAGCTGGATCCCACTAGGTCAGATAGAGTGGAGAGGGCTGTGGGTGCCACTATTTGTAAGTTCACATTCCACTCATTAAAAAGAAACAGAACGTGCACCCTCTCCACTTAGGTATGCAGGACCCAATATTCATCCTGGAAATGTACAAATCTAAATGGGATGAAATGCCAAGAACTGACACTTAGAGCATGCATTTTAAAGGTGGGAAAATGTTAAGTAAAAAAAAAACAGGGAGTCTCAAAAGCAGAAATCATAAAATATTCTGACTTCATTCCCACAGTGAATAATAACATTGTGTGCCAGAAATAATAGTATAAAAATACTCTGTTTTTTTCAGCCTGGTTATCTTAGATGATTGTTTGGAAGGGCTAATTTTTTCATCCAGAAAAAAACCTGGCAAAGAATGTATTTTCAAATTAACAAGAAAAATAAAGTTCTATCAGAATCCATCCTCTTTTCCCAAGTTAGCCATAGAGCACACACAAGCTCTTTCACATAACGTTTAGTGAGTTCCTAACAGTTACTGAGGAATGCAGCAGGCACCAATCAGTGCTTGGGGCTGCAAGAATTTATAAACAGAGAAGAAAACATAAGCTCCATCCTTGAGGAATGTGCCCCCTAATGAGTCTTGATCTGTAGAATTCTCATTTTCCTAAGGTACAAGTTAACATGAAAAGGAAAACTGAACCAGGCACAGTTACTCACACCTGTAATCCCAGAACTTTGGGAGGCCAAGGCAGGAGAATCACTTAAGCCTAGGAGTTCAAGACCAGCCTGAGCAACCTAGTGAGATCCCGTCTCTAAAAAAATATTTTAAAAATTAGCCAGGCATGGTGGTGCATGGCTGTGGTCCCAGCTACTTGGGAGGCCAAGGTGGGAGGATCACTTGAGCCCAGGAGGTTGAGGCTGCAGTGAGCTGTGATCATGCCACTGTACTCCAGCCTGGGCAATAGAGCAAGACTCTGTCTCTAAAGAAAGAAAAGCAAAATTGGAAGACAGCATAATTTAGAAGAAAAAAAGTAGAGTTATGAATATAGGAAAGAAATGGGACATGTCTACTCTAGCCTATTATTCTCACTTTATATACTTTATTGTATAAGTATCTGCATAAATTTAATAGCTCACACATATTTGCCACTTTTACAGGCAGTTCAGTGTTTTCTTTGCCCCTTTTTAATCTTCATATTTTAAAAACGAGTCAAAACCTGGAACATAGCATTTTTACTTGCTCTTAGTTCAAAAATCTAAACTTGTCTGATTTCTGAATTTAATACTTTGTAATATAAGAATTATGACTTCAGAAGGCAGAGCACATTAAAACTATGATCAATAAATTATAGTAATTCTGAAATATGTGTGACAGAGGCTCTCTATATTTCACTGTAAACCCAACCTCTCATGAATTTTGATATGATCTAGCACAGTAATCCCTGTCTCTCATAATGAGAGAGACAATATAGTACAATCTGTGTTTCTCCTCTCCAGTGTAACTAGTTCACAAAGTTAAAGCTCTACTTGCAAGCTGAGAAAGAGGCTATAAGTATAAATGATAAAATAATTTTAATCTTATTTCAAGAATAAATTACACTGGTAACTTCCAGAAGAATTTTAAGTTCACTTTAGTCATGGAAATTACATAGAAGGTTTGCTAGCACAGGTCATGGACACTTCTTTCCCACCCATACTATACACATGGCTTTTAATATTTTTTTAAATTTATTTTTTATTTTTAAGATGGAGTCTTGCTCTGTCGCCAGGCTGGAGTGCAGTGGCGCGATCTTGGCTTACTGCAACCTCCACCTCCTGGGTTCAAGTGTTTCCCCTGCTTCAACCTCCTGAGTGGCTGGGACTACAGGCGCCCACCACCACACCCAGCTAATTTTTTGTATTTTTTTAGTAGAGATGGGGTTTCACCATGTTGGCCAGGATGGTCTTGATATCCTGACCTCATGATCTGCCTGCCTGTGCCTCCCAAAGTGCTGGGATTACAGGCGTGAGCCACCGCGCCCAGTCCGGCTTTTGATTTTAAACATCTTTTAATGAAAGACCATCTAAATCAAGTGATTAGAGAAATGAGATGAGGTAAATTTAGTCACAAAAGCATAAATATGCCTTCATCTCTCATTCTTTGATTTTGGTTAAGTCCTTTGATACAAATGTGAAGGTTTCTTCTAAAATGCCAAACGTGTAAAATAATGGGAAGTTCAAACTAGTTCAACTACTACTTCAGAGAAGAAAGCAAAAAAACAAATCTACTGTTTGTCATACTGCCTCCAAAAAATTCATAGAGAATTACTGCATCCAAAAAAAGGAATAATGTCTCATTAACAAATACACAAATAACAGACAAATTAACTTCTCACCTGCATCTAATTTCATGAAATATGTTGGTTTTTCAATGACAATGTCACATTTAGCATCTTCTATAGGTGTGAAGTTGAGCTGAGTATAGCTTTGTAGCTCAGCAAACCTGAAATTATGAATTGGGATATGACTTTAAACTGATTCTCCCAAACTTCCTATTACAACATTGTAACTTAGGATCTGTTCATTAGGCAGATTTTACCTCTAGTTGGTAGAGACACTCCTATGGACACCTGTAACTTCTAAAACTTACTGACATTTATATAGGTTGATATCAATTTTAATGTTAAGACAAAGAACACGCCAGGTGCAGTGGCTCACGCCTGTAATCCCAGCACTTTGGAAGGCAGAGGCAGTCCAATCACGAGGTCAGGAGATCAAGACCATCCTGGCCAACATGGTGAAACCCCATCTCTACTAAAAATACAAAAATTAGCTGGGCATAGTGGTGAGAGCCTGTAGTCCCAGCTACTCAGGAGGCTGAAGCAGGAGAATCGCTTGAACACGGGAAGCGGAGCTTGTAGTGAGCCGAGACTGCGCCACTGCACTCCAGCCTGGGCAAGAGAGCAAGACTCCATCTCAAAAAAAAAAAAAATGACAAGGAACAAAAATTATTTTAAAATTCAGTCTTATGTGCAAGATAGTTAGACTGGGAACTTACCACACAAAGAAGATATTTATATATTGGGTTGTCTAAATAACCTACCAGTAGAAGGAGAAGACTCAAAAGATTTCCCAACGAGGCTCAAAAAGAACAATGAGCCAGAGGAACCTTGACAGACTTCTTGGATTCTGAGAGACAGCATTCCAAGAATCACCCAGTGCCTCAGAAAGACAGCAGAGACAGCTAAGCGTCCCAGAAGAAAGGAAGTTTATCTCTTGGAAAACATCTTTGGAAGCCACACAGCACAAATTTCTTCCAAACAAAAGAAGACAATCCCAAGCATGGATCGTCTGTACCTCTTCCTTAAGATCATACCTCATGTAAAACAAATATCAAATAGATCCTTTTAAAACACAATGCCAACAAAGTGTGGTGGTTTCAAACATAGGTCTACAAACTCTTTAATACCTCTCCCTTCAAGAGGAAGAAGTTAATTCCCTCCCTTTAAGAGTGGGCTGGACTTAGTGACTCACTCCTAACAGGCAGAATACAGCAGACCTGATGGTAGGACACTTCTGGGATTCAGTTATACAAGTACTGTGGCTTCCATCTCAGAGCATGTACTCCCTCAGACCATGTGCTCCTGGGAAAGCCAGGAGCCACGCTGTGAGCAGCAGTAGGGAGAGGCCCATATGATCAACACTGAAGTCCCTGGCCAAGAGGAGACAAGGCTTACAACAACAACCTAAGTGAGTTTAGCAGCAGATTCCCCAGGCCCAGGTTGAGTCTAGAGATGGCTACAGCCCTGGCCAACTCAGCCAAGCTGCTCCCAAACCCTGACCCTCAGAAGTATTGTGAGATAATAAATGTCTGTATTTTAAGCTGCTAAATTTTAGAGTGATTTGTTATACACAATAGGTAATAAATACAAATATACCCTAGGGTACACTTTGGAATAACCTGTCACACAGCAATAAGTAACTAATACAATTAAGCCCTGTGCAACTACCATGTGGAATCAAATATCAAAAAGTACCAGGAATCAAAAAGCCCACTTGATTATAGAAACTACCTCTTGTAAAAGTCTGCTAAGTGACTTGAGAGACTGCATTGCAGACTGCAAAATGCCAGATAAATGTGTGGTAGATTATTATTCTGAATGATCTGCAGCCAAGCAGTGAGGTCTCCTTAAGGGGAAAAAAAAAAAAAAAAAGTTTGCTCAGCATGGTTTTTTTTTTTTTTTTTTGAGACAGGGTCTTGGTCCATCACCCAGGCTGGAGTGCAGTGATACAATCATAGCTCACTGCAGCCTCAACCTCCTGAGCTCAAGCAAACCTCCCAGCTCAGCCTCCCAAGTAGCTAGGATTATAGTGGCGTGCCACCTCACCCAGCTAATTATTTTTTATTTTTTATTTTTTAGAGATGAGTTCTCATCCTGTTGCCCAGGCTGGTCTTGAACTCCTGGCCTCAAGTAATACTCCTGCCTTGGCCTCCCAAAGTGCTGCAATTATAGGCATGAGCTGCCATTCCTGGCCTTGGCATGGACGTTTGACCTTGAAAATTAACATTATGTAAGTAACCTATGTGACTATACAGGAGTAGCAGGAGAGTTTCTTTGGGATGATGGAACGATTCTGCATCCTGATTATGGTGGTCCCCACCCCCACCTCCCCCTCCCCCTTCCTCTACCGCTCCCTACCTACACACCCGCACCTACACACATGATAAAATTTTAATGAGTGCAGGTAATTGCTGGTGAAACCTGCACAAGTTAATACTACTGTACCAATGTCAATTTCATTGTTGTGATCATTGTGCCACGGTTATATGAGATATTATCATTAGAGGAAGCTCAGGGAATTAGACAATGTACAAGTTCTGCTTGTACTATGATATGGTTTGGCTGTGTCTCCACCCAAATCTCATCTTGAATTGTAGTTCCCATCATGGGAGGGACCCAGTGGGAGATAACTGAGTCATGGGGGTGGGTTTTTCCTGTGCTGTTCTCAAGATCTGATGGTTTTATAAACGGCATTTCCCTCTGCACACACTCTCTTGCCTGCTGCCATTTAAGACATGCCTTTGTTCCTCCTTTGCCTTCTACCATGACTATGAGGCCTCCCCAGCCATGTGGAACTGTCAGTCCATTAAACCTCTTTCCTTTAAAAATTACTCAGTCTTGAGTATATCCTTATAGTAGCTTGAGAACGGACTAATACATACTATTTTTAAACTTCTATGAGTCTAAAATTATTTTAAAATAAAAATTTTTTAAATTCAAAAAGCTGGCCAATGATGTTAACAGTCAGAATAGCATTTACCTTTGGAGAGGGGGTTGGGGGTAGAGCCTGGAAGGGAGCCTGAGGTGCGCACGATGTTCTATTTTTGGACCTGGGTAAAAGTTACATGGGTGGGTTCACTTTTTCACAATCCAAACTGTACCTTTTTCTGTATGCTTGTTACATATTTTAATATATGTGTATTGTTTTTTAAATGTGTTCCCCAAAAGACATTTTTATTTTTTAGAGATGAGGTCTCATCATGTTGCCCAGGCTGGCCTTGAACTCCTGGGCTCAAGGAATACTTCTACCTTGGCCTCCCAAAGTGCTGCAATTATAGGCATGAGCCACCATTCCTGGCCTTGGCATGGACGTTTGACCTTAAAAATTAACATTATGTAAGTAACCTATGTGACTTTGTAAGTGAATAAGACTCAGCAATTGTGAGTTAATAAAAATGGATTTTTGAGCTGATTTTTTTCTTTCATTAGCAAACAGTAAGTACTATATCTACTATTATAAACACATATTTAATTCAGATGCAGTTGAGGGATTCACTCGGTTTCTGTCACTTCCCAGAAGCTCATGCCAAATTATGTACAAATGAAGTAACGTTTTCCATTTGAGAGTCCCCATTAATATCTTCAAGTGCCAAAAATAACGGCAAATATTTCTGAAACAGATATGTTAAAAATACCTTACCATGACTGCAAAGGGCTTTTGCGCTGACCTTCAGACATCAATGTACGGATGTCAAGTTGACAGTGCCCTCCAATTTCACCACTCTGGAAAAAGTCCTCCTTAAATCTGGTGTATAACAAAACATTAAGGAGAGTTCAGAAAATTTCTTCACGACCCAAGCACGTGGGTTGTAACTAAAGAGGGTTACCAACTTCCAAACTCAATTTTTTAAAAGAATTCAACTATTTATAATAGAAAATTTCAAGTGTATATAAAAGTAACAGAATCATATCAGGACCTAATGTATCTACAATCCAACTTTGCGATGCGATCTGAGTCATCCATCCCCCATCCATTCCCCAACCCCTCTGCCATATCATCAAAAACAAATTCAAGAAATATCCCTTCAGCCAGGCCTGGTGGCTCACACCTATAATCCCAGCACTTTGGGAGGCTGAGGTGGGGGGATCACCTGAGCTCAGGAGTTTTAGACCAGCCTGGGCGATGCTGGGAGACCCCATCTCTTCAAAAATTAAAAAACTAGCCAAGCTTGGTGGTGCACTTCTCTAGTCCCAGCTACTTGAGAGGCTCAAGTGGGAGGATCACTTGGGTTTGGGAGGTCACAGCTGCAGTGAGCCATGATTACACCGCTGCACTTCAGCCTGGGCAACAGAGCAAGACCCTGTCTCAAAAAAAAAAAAAAAAAAAATCCCTGGATCTGAAAATATTTCACAATTTATATTAGATGTTAACATTAACCACTTAAGTACCTGTCATGATTTCTCTTGATGTTTCTTAAATCAAGGTAGAGATTCGTTGCTCTGCAGTACTGAAGATAACGGGAACACATCAGACTTGAGTCACTCTGAAGGTTGTGCAAAAGAAAAAAGTAACCGTAAGTATTAACACAGCAAAGACTCACCCAGACTTGCTGGACATGTTGACAGCATGGATACCCTCACGTTCGAACCACACGACGTGACAAGGAAAGCTCTCCAAAGACTGCATCTGCTGAAGGATATTTTCTCCTTCCCAGCTGACCCTGGCCAAGCACACTTTTGCCAGTTTCCCACTTTTAAGGTACTATGGAGAACTCCCAAACAATCTGTCACTTCAAATTTTAAAACCAAGAGCTATAGAGGTGGCTCAGTTCAGTCCCCTTTAAAAGAAAAGAAAGCACCCAGAAACAGTACTACTACCCCCACAGCTATGTGAAAAAGCAGCTTTCAAAAGCAAGCCAAAAGAAACAAGGAAAAATGCACACGTAAGAGACATTAAAAGCGGGGAGGGAAGTTTGCCAGTTTTAATAAGAGGTACTTTCTGCAAACCGTAAAGCTTGTGGGAGCCTCTATCTCAACAGCAACATCAGGGCAATATTTTCTAAATAATTGAAGAAAGGAATTGAAGAGTCAGCTACCAGAGTCTGATTCTATTTCAACCAATCTGGGTTGTGCTGAGAGCTTCAAAAACTTTTATCTGCTCTGGGTTTTATTTATCGATTTAAATGTCATTTTAATTGTTTTTCCCATAACTCCCAATGAACACAAAGCCTTAATCTTGACCTGCATGGCGTTTTGGAGTCTGTAGTTGGTAAAAGATTGCAATGGACTGAATGTTTGTGTCTCTGCCAAATTCATATGTTGAAATTCTAACCCCCAATGTGATGATATTGTTTTGAAGCCACCCAGTCTATGGTATTTTGTTATAACAGCCCAAACAACTAAGACAAGGATCATACTCTGCTAGCACAAAGCAAATCAAGGTAAATCTTAGCCAAAAGAACATTCTACAAGCCATCTTGAAAGAGGCGTGCAAGATAGGGGTTGTCATTCTTCTCTTGCCTTTTCCACGTGAACAGCTAGACTTGAGCCAAGTGTGCAAGACAGAACAGAACTCTGTTAAAGATACCCTGCAGCCGTGCAGTTTAATGGCATGCCTCACATCCTCAGGCCTCATTCTCCTTGCTAGAATGCTCAAAGCTCTATGACGTGACACCCCCCAATAGCTCTACAAAGCATATAATCAGTTTTTGAATGTGAGTAAATTAAAAAATTTTTTAGGTCCCCAGTGTGGTTGGAGATTGGAGATTGGAGACCCCTAAGATGTCAGAGACTCAGGGTTCAGGATCATTGAATTAAAGAATAGTGTACCTTAATCGTAAGTGCTTACAACTTCATCAACCTTTAAAAAATAATGCTGAGCCCTTTGCTGGGAATCAGGCCCTGCTGCACTGAGCATTTTTATCTGCAGAACCTCATTTCTTCCTTACCATATACTACATAATGGGCATGGCTTTAAGGCAGAGGAAATTGAAACAAGGAAAGCCTAAGTACCTTGTCCAAGACTCAGGATCTGAGTTGTAGTTGAGAGCCTGCTCTTGTATTTACTACTCCAAACCACCTCTGGACAACGTGTTTATCTGATCCACTGAGGTACAATATGGTATGGTTGAAAGTAAACTGGAAAAAACCTGCATTTTAATCCTAGATGTACAATTAATTCTAAAGGGCAGCTGTGCAGTCTTGGAGAAGTTGCTTAACTCCTCTGAGGATCCTGTTTTGCACACTGATAAAGTGGCATCAGTAGTATCTGCTATAACGCTTATGAGCATCAAACCAGATAACATACATAAAAGCTTTCTGCAAACTGTAAAGCTCTGGGCAAACACAGAGCGGTATGGTGGTATTATATCATCTGTCCCAAACTATCTGAGAATAAATTTGTAAAGATGCAATTTATCAACTTCTCTTCTTTAACATATGTTTGGGGGAAAGATTCTAAACCTAAAAATCTTTCGACTGTCTTAAAATATGACTATCTGATAAACGTGGGATAAAGAGGACAGGGTTTCCAAAGGAAAGAGAACAACCTATTTAGGAAAGTTACATAAAATTCTAAGCCAATAACTAAGTGAGAGTGAGGAATTCCTTTCATAGTGCCGTCTATCTTATTTTTACATTACAACCTAAATGATAAATATTAAAAATCAATAATCAATAAATAATAAAAATAAAACAGCTTGGTTGGACACAGTGGCTCATGCCTGTAATCCCAGCACTTTGGGAGGCTAAGGTGGGCGGATCCATTGAGGTCAGGAGTTCGAGATCAGCCTGGCAACATGGCAAAACCCTGTCTTTACTAAAAATACAAAAATCAGCTGGGAGGGGTGGCACACGCCTGTAATCCCCGCTACTCGGGAGGCTGAAGCAGGAGAATCCCTTGAACTCGGGAGGCAGAGGTTGCAGTGAGCCAGGATTGTGCCACTGCACTCCAGCCTGGGCAACAGAGAGAGACTCCGTCTCAAAAATAAATAAAATTAAATTTAAATAAACAAGCTTATTTAGTAAGGAGCGAAATACCCACCGTTTCCTTAGGCTGACAGAGCACATGCATCTCCTCCAGCCTCTCTCTGGCATATCCAAAGTCAGCCTGTTTCCAGAATATGTCCTCAGCTGACTCAAGAGTGTCCGTCCTATTTGCAAACAAAAATATTCTGTGGTTTTTTCTTTTTACTTTTTTTGGACCTTGAATTTTTATTCTAAAGGTTAAAATGCTAAAGGTTCCTTATTACTTTAATTTTGTTACAGTATACTATCATCATAGTTTTTCCAAAACTATGCCTCACTACATGAAATTACCAAACTAAGTTATTCACAGAATTATTCCCTTATCATAAAAATATGTAACAGACATGTATGAAGTTATCCCCTGAAACTGAAGACAATGACGCATTCTTAATTACTATGTTTTCTTTACCACATTAACACTGCATGTATTAGAAGTACTAATTACACTTAATTCTCCCAGGAAGAATCAAGAGGAAACCATCCATTTATCTTCTTAGTATACACTGGGGGAAAACATCATCTATGGTCCCGGCTGTTTCTCCCTCTGGCAGAGGAAATGACAGATATTCCTATCCCAGTGTGAAATAGTCAAGTTGAATTCATGACTGTGTAAGCAAATTAATATCTAACTGAATTACTATCTAAAACCAAAAGAATCCAGCTAGAAATTAGGGCATCAACATACACTGTATAGAAAGAAGAAGACTTGAAGAGGGTATTCCATATGGAAACTTACCATCCCATGTCGACATAGCTGCAAACTGGGTAACCAAACCTGAACTCTGGTTTACAGGATTTCTCATAACCCCAGCAGTACTTTAGCTTTTCTAGGTGTTTCTAGAACATAAAACTTACATTGATTTCCCTTCTTCTGACATTTAGAGAAGACTCTTACATTTTTCCATTAAGAAAACAAATCATTATAGAGCATTCATATTTACATTTTATAATATGTCATCTTATCATAATAAATTTAAAACTTACAGTTAATTCTAAAAAGAGCAGTCTCAAGGTTCTTAACAATCCTTCTTCCTTATCTGATACCCCCACCATATCTGTCCTCTAACCAAAAGTCTGGGCTTTACCTAGATGCTCAAAGACCACTTGAATTTGAATTTCTTGAAGTAGCTTAAGAAACTGCCTTTCTCAGTGAGCAAGCAGATTCTAAAATCAGTCCCTAAAAGACATACAAACTGGAATTTGTGCTACCAAAGGAATCACAGCTAAAGTGAATGAATCAGCAACTTTACTCAGCAATCAAGATCAGCAGAGACCCCACAACACATGGACAACTCTGCCACCCTTGGGAACCACCCAGCTGCTGCTGGACAAGGAGCTCAGAATGCTCTTCTGCACGGCCCCAGGAGCGATGCTGGTCTGGTTCCCAAGTCTGCTTTTCCATATGCTTCCTGTGCCAGCACCATGGGAAAGGAAGTGTCTCACAATGCCCAGCTTTGATCTCTGAGGCCCTGTGAGATGTCTTAATGGGCTCCTATTTGAGACCTTTCCAACTCCTCTAAAACAGAAAGAAAGCCACAGTAACAGGCTTAATTAATGTGGAGTCAGAGGCTGAGGTGTCATTACTGAAATTAAGTGCTAAGCGATCCTCTTATGTGCCATTTAAGAAAGAAGAGGTGTGAAATTCTTTAGTTACTTTAAACAAGATGTTCTTTCCTGCATAAAATCTAATTGCTTCTTTACAGAGTTTACAAATAGTATTGGCTACTTGTTTTAGAAGTGATTTCGATTTTAAATTTCTCTCTTACGAATGGGACATAATTTTAAGCAGTTTAGTCACTTAGAAGTATTATATGAAACTGAAACAATGATTAACTTATACAGTGACAACCAAAAATTAGAATTCTACCTTCAGCTTCAGGTTATAAAGCAGAACCAGTAAGCCAGCCAAAATTGCATCCTCATAGAAATACGGAAAGAAGAAATAATACCTACCTTATATGGACAAAGAGAGTCTTTCTTACAGACAGTGGCAATATGCCTATTGTTGTGCAAAAAGAAGGGAATGTGCTCCTCTGGCAAGCGGATACTGGCATAGTTATACAGAGGTTCGCCTGGAATGCTGTGAGTGTTAGGAGGAGCTTCATTCTGATCACTCAGTGGGACTTCATGAAGTAAGACTCCAAAGACAAACAACATTAACATAGCAACCTGCAAACCTAGAGATCAAATTGAAGACATCTTTGTTAACAAATTTCCTTTAAAAGCCAAAACAACAACAACAACAACAACAAAGGGTCAAGAGCTAAGTATAATTACAAAGCACTTTGCTATCCCACTGTGTAATGTTCCTTTGTTAAATTTTCTTTTAGCACTTGCTTGGTGCCAGGCACCACATTAGCAAATGGGTATACAGAGGTGAACAAAACAAGAAAGAGCCTGGCTCTCATGGTGCCTTTAAACCTAGTACGACTGTCTGTCGTAAACAAGCAATCAAATAAATAAACAACTTCAGCGGATGACTGGGCCTGTGACTCAAACCAACTAGGGGCCAGCAAACTTTTCCTGTAAAGGAGAAGCAGTAAATATTTTTGGCTTTGCCAGACATAAGATCTCTGTGACAACTACACAATGCCTCTGTCCAGAAAGTAGCCATGGTCTATTATAAAAGAAAGGATGAGGCTGTGTTCCAATAAGACTTTATAACTTAAAAAAATTATGGAATGGCTTGATAGGATCCAGTTTAGTGATACCTGAAATAAAATAAAGCAATATGATAGACAACGTAGCATGGTGGTTAAGAACCTGAACCTTTAAAGCTTAACCACCTGGATTTGAATCGCAAATCTGCAGCTTCCCAGCTGTTAAGACTTGAACAAGTTACTTAACCTTTCTGCACCTAAGCATTCCCCATCTGTAAAATGGAAATAATAACAAACCTTCATTGTAGAGCTGTCGTGAGTTAAATGAGTTAATTATTGGTAAAGTGTTTAGAAAACTATCTGGCACACACTAAATGCTATGGAAGTGTTTATTAAATAACTGTTTAAAGCCATGTGGGGCAGAAAAGGGGCCCAAATAACATTGGAGCTGAGATCTGAATGATGAGTAGGGGAAAAAGCATCGGTGAGAGAGCAAAGGGAGTGGGATGGCTCCAAGCAAGTGTGTGTCTGCTGAATAAAAAATTATAATCACAATCAAGGTGTGAGCACAATGTTCCAGGAGCTCTTCTGAACCCAGGATACAGCAATGACGGTGCAGTCATGAACTAAACTCATTGCCCTTATGAAGCTTACATGCTAGTAGGTATAATAATCAGCTATGATAATAGCTAAGACTTAGAAACTCCAGGAGTGATATTAAGCAGTCTGTGTCAAAGTCTGCGCCCTTAAACTCTCCCTTCACACCTCTACATTGTGAACACTGACAATGGTCACAAAGCTCACTGCACTTCTAACTCACCCAGTAAGTGTTAAATCTCTTAGACCAGATTTCTCCTATATATCCCAGACAATGATCCTGCCATTCTCAGGTCACTTTAGTGGGCTCTTTGTTCTATTTTTTGTTTTGTTTTGTTTAAGTGGTCTTTCCACTGGATGACAGAGTCTTAATATACATTGGATGTTCATCAGCTAGGACTGCTGTTTCCTGGGTCATGCCAGAAAACCCATGTTTTGAAATTAGTCTTCACACATGCACACGTATGTTTATTGCAGCACTATTCACAATAGCAAAGACTTGGAATCAACCCAAATGTCCATCAGTGACTGATTGGATTAAGAAAATGTGGCACATATACACCATGGAATACTATGCCATAAAAAAGGATGAGTTTGTGTCCTTTGTAGGGACATGGATGCAGCTGGAAACCATCATTCTTAGCAAACTATCACAAGAACAGAAAACCAGACACCGCATGTTCTCACTCATAGGTGGGAACTGAACAATGAGATCACTTGGACTCAGGAAGGGGACCATCACACACCGAGGCCTATCATGGGGAGGGGGGAGGGGGGAGGGATTGCATTGGGAGTTATACCTGATGTAAATGACGAGTTGATGGGTGCAGCACACCAACATGGCACAAGTATACATATGTAACAAACCTGCACGTTATGCACATGTACTCTACAACTTAAAGTATAATAATAATAAATAAATTAAAAAATAAAAATAAAAAAAAAAAAGAAATTAGTCTTCATTGATTATGGGCTGTGAAGATGGAGCCTTTAGAAACAGACTGCAGGCCCAATGCGGTGGCTCATCCCTGAAATAGCAGCACTTTGAGAGGCCGAGACTGGCAGATAAGCTGCTTGACTCCCTGAGTTTGAGATCAGCCTGGGCAACATGGTGAAACCCAGTCTCTGCTAAGAATACAAAAAATCAGCTGTAGTCCCAGCTGAAGGGAGAGGATCGCTTTAGCCTGGGAAGTCAAGGCTGCAGTGAGTAGTGATCTCGCCACTGCACTCCAGCCTGGGCAACGCCAGGGAGACCCTGTCTCAAAAAAAAAAAAAAAGAAAGAAAGAAAGAAAAATGGAAATTGACTGCTATGTTCCATCAAACCTCAAGTTCCAAGGCCATGGAATTCTAAGTGAACAGTGGGGACACCCAGAAGAAATCCATTTTCCCCCATTTTTCCCCCCGGAGTAGTTAAGTACTACAGATTTTCACTTTGGCAGCCCTCAAGAGTATGGTGTTATCTGCTGTAAATCTGATCTGAATTATAATAATATTTTCACTTGGGGCTTTCACCCAAGAATGAGTTGACAGTAGTGTTATAAAAATTTAAAAATACATATTCATAGTAACAATGACTCTACTTAAAATAAAAATATTTACCTCTTGAATCCTCAGAACCACTCGGAAGCTTCTGTGATGTTTCAGGTCTCTAAAACCTGTCAGAAATGAAACATATTACCTTAAAAGGATGCTAAAGTAAACTTGATCATTCAGGTGATGTTGTGAATTAAAGGAAATATTAAGAAAGAAAATAATGTAAGGGGATAACCCTCAGCCAGAAGGCCTGGACGGTGGTGTGCTTTCTTTTCCTTAATGAATACCACACTGCTAACCGAGTTCACAGGCACCACCCCCAACACAGCAACTCTGACCAGATTCCAATGGGGAACAGGAGGAGGTGGCCCACTTTCTACAGGCATCCACTGGAACTGGCCAACAGGATACTTAGTGGATCAAACATTCTCAGGAGCAAACAACTTTCCCATTCTCACAGCAGTAATCCCCGTTGGCTGAATCACAGTGCTACCCACCTAGAGTGGCGAGCCTGAGGGTTCCCAGGCCTTCCTATTTTTTGAATTGTCCTTCCCGGTAATAAAGTCATTGTTATGACCAAGCCCTGACTCTTGTTATCCAAGTCCATTGTCCTCCAGTGAGCTCTGGCCATCACTAAACTCACCGATCAGTTGGGAAGTAAGGCTCAGGCGATGGAAAAAATCTAAAGACGCAGATCAGAAAGCTGGCTTCTGGCGACGGCATGTACCCACTTGCATAAGACGGGTGGGGGTGGCTGCCGGGCCTGGCACAAAGCCTTCCTGGTGTCGGTCCTCCTGCAAGGCCCGCGGGGATGGCACTCCTCCAGCACAGGGACGCTTTGGTGGCCAGGCTACTTTTCCTTCAGCTCAAAGCAGCTGGACTCACTCCACTCCAGAAACCCTTGATTCGATTTCCACAGGCCTAATGAGGGAGGAAAAAAGGGAAACATCTGAAAGATGATGGATAGGAGGCAAAACCTGGGGCTGACACAGTGGGCGAAATGGGGCAATGTTGCAGAGCGACAAAGCTTGGAAAAGTTTAAAGAAGGCAGTGGGCAAATGGAAAGTTCAAGACGTGAGACTCCGAATGACTCCTCAACGGCTGGCCCCCACTTGAGCCAAAAAGTCTCTCGGCGGGTGCCAGGCAGGGCTCAGGAAGTGCTCGGCTGCCCGAGAGCCCAGCTGTCCGCTTGAACGTCAGTCCCGGCCCAGGGCTGAGGGGTCAGCGGCGAGCGCCCC